GAACTTAGGATGTTCTTGAATGATAATCCGGGCCTATTAGTCACCAGGGCGGACAAGGGTAATACTACTGTAATTTTGACATACCGGGATTACATAGAGAAAATGCAGGACATACTTTCGGACAAAAACACTTACAGATTAATAAACAGAGACCCGACAAATAAAATGACTACTACAATACGATCTCTCTTAATGAGTTGGAGATCGAAGGGCTTTATTGATCAAGAAATTTATAAAAAATTGTACATTTCGGACGGAGAATTGCCGAGATCCTATGGGCTCCCAAAGATTCACAAGACAAATACTCCACTGAGAATAATAATAAGTTGCATTAATAGTCCCTTCTATAAACTAGCAGTTTTTTTGAAGGACATTATTAATAAGAGCCTAAATATAAAAGAAAAATTTGGACACATTAAGAATAGCTACGAATTAGTCAAAAGAATTAACGGTCTATTGTTACCTGAAGGTTATAAAATAGTTTCCCTCGACATTTCATCCATGTACTCAAACATTCCCATGGCTGTATGCTCCTTTTTACTCAACCTTTTTTCATACTTATTATCTTCATATATAAAATGCAAAACAAGCCGCACGCGAAGAGAAACACAAGTACCAATTTCTATTATAACACAAATTCAAATTTTTAAGTGAGTTAATTGTTATCTTATTTTTTTGTATGTAAAGTCATTAATTTACTAAATTTGTTAAAAGAAAGATATTTAGAGACCTTTCTTAAACTTAAGAATGAATTTGACAAATTTACGAGTATCTCATGGCGCGGAACTCGTCCAACACTTGAACATTGTGATATATTTTTTTGATAATTTGATCTGTACTTTCACAATGCCTCAAAGCTCGAAATTGTAGGTCTATTTATAGTGGGAACAAAAATCCATTTTTTTCTGTTTTTATGTGAATCATTTCAGAGATCATTCTTTTGTAATGCGAGCGTTCAGAATCTAATATTTTTGTATTCAGCCAATCAATCTCGTGATCAGTTTCAATTCTATGATTCGAGATAACCGAGAGGGAATTGACAGTTTTTTTCTTAATATCATTTATGTATTCTTTTATTTGCGTTTTTAATTTCCTTTTTGTCTGTCCCACATACGAATAATTACAATCTTTACAATTGATCTGATATACGACCTTGGAAGCTTCATCTTTTTTTATTTTATCTTTTCCAGTTTTTATAAACCTATTTAAATTATTCATCGGTTATATACAAATTCAAATTGAAACTTTTAAATGCTATGTTGAATTTCTGAAGTGTTATTTAAATAAGGAATCGTGAAATATTTTTTCATTACCGAAGAGTTACCGTTAGAGTTAATGTTCTGTTCACTTGTAGTATTAAAATTCTTTTTTCTGGAAAGAGTTTTTATTCTATTTTTTATGGTCTTAAATACAAATTGTAGAGGATACCCGTTGCGGAGGAGGGTGTTGATTAAGGATTCGATGTTAGTGTGATGGAATCTTGGATGGGTCAAAAATAATCCTGCCCTTGTCGTACAAAAGGTATTGTTCAATTCAATAAATTGGTAGAGAAGCTATCAGTTAATGCAACGAAGAGCCTAATGACATTTGTAAAAGGTTCGAGTCACTTTTCTAGAAAACTGGGACATTATACCAAAAAAAATTTAAGTTTTTGCAAAGAGAATGTCAGTCCAGCAAACCAAGGCCGGTGCCTTTCGCGTTAAGAGAGAAAGTCAAAAAAGAGATTGATCGTTTAATAGGAAAAGGAGTTCTGCAAGCGGTTGAAAATAGTGAGTGGGCAACGCCTATTGTACCAGTTCCGAAATCGAACGGTCAAATACGTTTATGCGGAGATTATAAGGTGATACTTAATCCGCACTTACTGATAGATAAGCATCCAATTCCGAGTGTCAAATTTACTTAAAATTACGTGGTGGTACGATATTTACAAAATTAGATTTAGCGCAGGCCTATCAGCAGGTAGAGTTAGATGATGAATCAAAATCGTTAGTCACGATAACAACTCATAAGGGTTTGTTTAGAAGTAATCGTTTGGGTTTCGGAATAGCATCAGCGCCTGGTTTGTTCCAACGCGAAATAGAAAAGATCTTACAGAACTTGGACGCAATATTCTTCGATGATTTAGTTATTACAAGAACTACCAGGGAAGAGCATGATCAAAATGTAATGAGAGTATTACAAAGATTATAAGATTATAGATTAGTTTTAAGTAGAGATAAATGTGCATTTGCGCAAAACAGTATTGAATTTTTAGGATTCGAGTTAAGCGCCAAGGGCATTCAAGCTTCAAGCAGGAAAGTTGACATAATTTTGAATATTAAAAAACCCGAGAACATTACAGAGCTCAAGTCGTTTTTTATATGTGTTATATCCCGACAAAACCCTCTATCTTTTTATTATAAATATTGGGTGGATCCATATATTCGTTCGGTTTTTGAAGGCTAAAATAAAACAAGTTTTTTTCATACAAAGGATGAATTTTAAAGGATCAATAATATATTCTCCGTTTTTGTTGATGACCTCTTGCCATCTTTCCAACAATTTCATTATTCCGCTCTCATAGAAGGTCTGCGGCTTAGAGGCGAAAAACCGGTCGAGGTACGTTTTCACAACTGTCTGATCAGCGAACGATTTCCCGTTGAGGGAGTTTTGCAGGGACCGGAACAAGTGATAGTCGGATGGCGCAAGGTCTGGTGAATACGGTGGGTGAGGCAAAACATCCCAGCCAAGTTGCACTAATTTTTGCTGAGTGATTATTGCGGTGTGGGGTCTGGCGTTGTCATGGTGGAATATGACACCTTTGCGATTGATCAGTTCTGGACGTTTCTGTCGCAATGCTTGATTCAATTTCGTTAGCTGCGTGCAGTAGATCTTCGAATCGATCGTTTTTCCCTGAGGAAGCAGCTCGTAAAACAGCACACCACGATGATCCCACCATATGGATAGCAAAATCTTCTTCGGATGCAGGCCGGCCTTCGGGGTGGCATTCGGCGGCTCGCCAGCGGTTCCCCACGATCTCTTGCGCACTATGTTGTCATAGATGATCCACTTTTCGTCGCCAGTCACTATTCGTTTGAGAAACGGGTCGCTTTCGTGCCGCTTCAGAAGTGAATTGCAGATGGATATGCGGTTGGCCAGGTTCTCCTCGGTCAGCTTGTGCGGCACCCAAACATCGAGGCGGGACACGTAGCCAAGCTGTTGCAAATGCCTTTGTATGTAGGTTCCATAACCTATTTTAAGTGTCTCCGCAATCTCTCGCACCTTTAGCGTCCGGTCTTGCTCAACCAGTACCTTGATATCATTCGAATCAACCTCGGTGGGCCGACCGCTGCGGGGTCCATCTTCAAGACTCGTATCTCCGGAACGAAATTTAGTTTTAAATTTTGATATGCTAGAAAGTAAATAAATGTATGCTTATCCCAAGTTGAAAGTATACTTTTAATTTAAATTATATATTTTTCACTAAGTTATTTGATTATATAATGTAGTTGCAAAATTTGCACATTTTGATGATTTTTTGAGCGCTACGTCTTTTTACTTCTCTGCTTAACGAGCCATCTCTATACATATGCTGTTCTACTGTTCCCAGGCCCCAGGACTATCACATGTTTGCAAAAAGCAATTTTCATTGATTTTATCAAAATATTTTTTTTGTATTTTAAAAGCTATCAATATTATAATATATTTAAATCATTTTTTTGCTTGTGTATCAAAATCATCTCTGATATCAGTCGCCTGTTTAAATAATTTTCTTTGTCAAGAATTTTTTTATTATCCCAGTCAAATTCGTGCGAGAATTCTAGTCTATACTTTATGATTATGGAATGTTGTGTCGTATTCCAATTTATATTCTTTTACTTCTTATGCTTGTTAATTTTTGTTTTAAACGTTATGTTTGTTTGTCTCATAAGATGCATCGTAATTTTTGCAATCAATTTTACAAACTACATTTGTATGAGATGTCCATGGGAGCCTGTCTTTAAATACTCTAATAAACTTGTTTAATTTGTTTATGCCTGTGTAAGCTATACATATTGATGCATTATTTTTAAAAAGATTTTGTTATTTTCTCTGATACATTAACAATAAACCGTAAAATAATGTTTTTTTGTATTAGGAGTATAAATAAGTTTCCGCCGTTTTTTATCAAAAATTGGGCATTTATTGTGAAAGAACGGTACCTAATATTTTATTCGAAGTATTGTCCATCGCTAGCCACTACTTTTTCCCATCTTTCTGGCAGCATGCGGATACCGCGTCAGAAAAACGCTTTATTTTTTGAAGCTATCCACGAATCAACCCAATTTTTGGTATCTTCATTTGATGTGAAGTGTTGCTCAGACAGGCCATGCGCCATCGATCGAAACAGGTAGTAATCAGAAGGAGCAA